GTGGCACCGCGCGAATGGCAATAAATCTGAAGGCATTCGGGGGTAAATGCCATTTTTTCTGCCCGTGTGGCACGGGTATAACACAACACAGTTGAGTTATGTTATTAACCTGATTTATTAGTTACCTGATTTTTTTCCCTGCTACTGTTCTTAGTAGAATGGTGTTTATATTGTATAATAAGTAGTTGACTTACATATGTATACGTATATGTATTGTAGTGCATCGTTGTATAATTTAGTGTAATTTGTTTACAGTTTTTATGTATTCTGCTGTAACCCCCCCCCCCCCACTTTTCCTGCATTGATCTTGTTTCACATTGGCAGTATTTCTAAATAAATAAATAAATAAAATATGTAATATACTGCCTTTTTCAGGGTAGCTGTATGCTATTGAGCTGTATCTAAGAGTGATGCTAACACAGGATCACAGAAAAAAAGTCAATTGCCAAAAGATAAAATTTTCCGTTCTTTGAAGGCCAATTGCACTTGACAATTCTTTTGCTCTCTAATCAACAGCATGGTGGCATGCCACAGTTTTACCAGTCAATTCTTGTAACCGTACAGTCATGTGCATTATTAGCTTGAGCCGGCGAAGTCGGCTTTGTGCAAGATTCATGTATATATGGCACCTGAAGACATAGCTATCATTAAATTGAGTTAAAGAAGTTCTTTTTTCGTCTAATTCTACCCCTCCCCCCCCCTCATTGTAATTCTGCTTGATTCAGGGTTTTCAAGTAATATATTTGCAGGAACATGACATGTTGCATGCCTTTTTTGGGGCACTTTTAATAAGCAAAAACAAATGATTTTTCATTGTCGCTTCAAGTTTTTCTAAACAGTGGTCTACTGCAAATATGACAACTCAGTCAAGACACTTACACCAAAACACTTTTCTAAATCTTACTTAAATTTGAGAATCTGTGTAACATGTATGTTACAAAACACCATTGTGACTTTTTTCCGAGGAGAAGTTTAGTTCGAGAGGCCATAGAACTTGCTCGACAGGGCTTTTACTGTGCAAAAAATCTGTTCAAAGAATTACAAGCCTCAGAAAAATGCTGTCCATAAATGTCAGCAGTCAACTTACAAAATCAGTCGCAACTTTTGCTTTTAAGTTTCACGTTTCATTTTATTGATGTCAACAATGATCATTATCATAATTCCACACGCACCTTGCAAACAGAGTAGCAAAGGGAATGGTAGTGGGTGAGTTTTTTTTTTTTTTGCTTCAAATACAATCTGACTGGACAGTGTTTTTTATGCAGCGAGCAACTTTCACTTTCTGTATGAATAGTATAGTTGTACTATAGTTAAGACTCTTGTTTGTGACTAACAACTACATACTTTGATTCATACACTGCTTATGTTTCGCAGGTATGTAGTACACCTAATTATTCTGCATATTTATTTCAAAATATTTGTATGGGCCCCTAGAGGCAGTGTGAAAGGAGGAAATACAAGAATAAGTTCAAGCATCTAAAATACATTCGGACCTTGATTGTAAAGGGCCCAATATACTCCAACGTAATGTTGACGCGCGCACGCTGGGTGCATTGACGCTATGCTAGCAAAACGGGAGCACTCTATATAGTCTGACGGCAGGTAGTGAACAGCGTATGTTGGCACGGCACGGGGGCAACCAATGCGAAATGTGACATGCTTCATTTCACACTGTGACATGTGACATGCTGCCTGTGACATGCTGCCTCTCTTCGTGACTGGAGGGGCACCGGGCGCGCTCAAACGGGCATGTGTCAAAGCAATGCAGTGCGGTGCGCGCGTTTGCGAGTATATTGCAAGCAGATCGGTACCTGGCGTGGCATTGCCAGCGTGACGCGACAAAATGAACGCCAGCGCGCACTGTGCGCCTGTTCGCGTTGAAGTTTATTGGTGCCTTAAGTCCCTTGGTCTTGCGACAATCCCACATTTTGCGACTCATTAGTTTGGTACTAGCGACACTCTCATGGAAATAATGTATTGAGAACCTCAGCTATACGACACACTTCAACACCAAGCTGCATCTTACAACTACGTTCAAATACTGTCCGAGAAAAAAAAAAGTTTTTTTTTTACTTATGCTGACCAAATATTTGTGAGTGCAATATAAAAGCTTTCATGCTGCTGAATTGAGGATTAGAAAAGTAGAGAGAGTGAGACAGTGTGTCTTCTTAGAATGGAAAACATATTCTCGTGGCAGTTCATGTGCATCTGTGATTCAGTTTTCTTGGCTAGCTTTTGGATAAGCATCGAGCATGTGCCTATCTAGGGCTGTTGCCTAGACAAGCTCTTTACGCGGAGTAGCTTCAGCTAGTCATCGAAAAGCTCGCTTTTCAGATCTGGATATTTTCATGTTTTTGACATGCGGAAACTTGTCCTGGTTGATGTACAGCTGAAGGGCCCCTTTTGTTTGCAGCACTCACTGTCACAAGTCTCAAGCATGCAGAAAGACTCAACGAAGCTATCTTCACTGTGCAAAATAACTTTCTCTTACACTTGAGCATTCATTATAGCAGCAACAACTTGCCAATTTCACTGCACGAGGGAACAAATTGTGGTGTTTGCGCACTGTAAGTGCTTAAAGAAAACACACACAAACAAGTTCCACCCTGAGCGCAACTTAACCTTGGCTGTAGGAAGGAGGTTTATATATATCTTGACATTCGCCATTTGGGGCCATACAACAGAACGAAGTTTGTTAAAATATACATTTCTTTTGCCCTAACACAAAAGAATTCAGCTATATGTAGTCTTCCAGGTACCAATGATGCCAGTGCTCTCGTTGAGGCCGTGCCGATTGGTGTGATAGTTGAAGTTGCTACGTGAAGGACGACAATCATTAGCGTGACTCTGATGACTCTACGTCTTGCCGAAGCTGTGCATCTCGGCCGTACCTAGGTGTCGGCAGACTTACAGCTGGTGGCACAGTGGTTTACACAGCGTCTATTTGTGCTACAATTAGCCACGGATAAACGTACCATGTGTTGGGGGCTCTTCCAGTGGGCTATTGGAGAGCCTTGACGCATGCCAGATAGTGCTGTCATTCAGGCGGATATGTTAAGGGCTACCTCAGAATAAATTACCCTAGGGTGTGAATACTGGGAGGAAGCTTTTTCTTGTCCTTTCTGATGCACCCGTACTTGTTCACAGGGTTGAAAGGAATAGTAGTAGACAGGACGGCTGTGATTGTCATATTCTTGCAATTAAAGCTAATAGCATTCAACACCTCTCAGTTCCTGGTACTCGTATTATGGGTTCTTGTGAAAACTGTGCGTGAAAAAGCCTACAATATGCAAACGCGTTCGAGATTCACGACCACGCAGTAAAACGGAGACATTTAAGTTGCAGTGTGAGGAAGGGTTCAATATATTCTTTTTTAGATGTGGTCATTTCGAAGGGCAATGAATGACTTGAGAATGCGGTTGAACTGCTCAACCTATCCATTAGATCAGGGGAAATGAAGTGAAGATATGATATGCTTGATTTACTCTGTAGTGTGGTATGTTTGAATTCCACAGAGGTAAACTAGAAACCATTATCAGTAATGATTTCCTCGAGCAATCTCCCCCTCCCCCCTCCCACAAAGAAAAGCATCACAATGTGTAGTGGGTACCCCGCATGTCCTGGGGCTGAAGGAGAATGTGCGGTCTGGATCGTCTTGCTCTTCATCGCCTTCAGCATCATTGTCAGTAAAAGCTACAGTGCACAGCGCCAACGAACAATTCTTCACCGTAAGGAGCTTTCCCTGAAACTGAGCTAGAAAACCTGTTACAGATTGGCTAGTTACACATGGTGTGAACATAACCTGGTGCCACTTGGAATAGTAAGTAGTCTACCATTACTGTGGCATAACAACAGTCTTGAAGAGCTGAATTAAATGGACCCATCATGTCTAGAGCCACCTTCACCCATGGTCGGAGAGAATGTCTGAAGCGCTTGAATTCGCTCATGCCTAGCTTTCACCACATTAGGGCGTGTAATCCATTGAAGAAAACTAATACTAGTCCGTGATGCATACTATAGTATCTTGTTCTTGGGAAATATGGCCGCCGCTTTTGCAGAACACAAAGCGATCACTATCAATCATCTCTCTCTTGTGACAATTATTTCGAATCAAATCCAAATACTATATGTCACATATTATAAATAAAAATGGGCACATTTGTCATGCCTTAACTAACCTGCACAGTGCCTTTTAAATAATGAAATAAGGCCTGTTCAAAAGCCATTCTTTTTGGTTCAAAGCAAGTGGAAACAACTTTGAATGGTAGCAGGATTTGGCTTTCCATAAAATGCTAGTGATATCTTGCAAAATATGTTATGTTTTAATGTTTCCTGTATTTACATTGTATAAGCCGGTGCAACCAGCTTTTAAGCTTGAAAAATGGTGAATCGATGTTAGGGTAATACGTTCACTTAACCTTAAAGTGGGGCTTCATGGCAGTGCGAGTTTTTTTTATATGTTTTGATTGCTTGGCAATCCTTCACTGCAGTGAAACCGTCTTTACAGAAAATTAAATGTGAGTTGATATACATTTAAGTAGATGCCTTCATGACTTAGAACCCCCTGCTACAGTAAAACCACCTTTAGGAGCGTAACATGTGGACTAATATACTCGTAGGTCTATTTGTTCATTTTGAATACTTCGAAATTTTCAACAGTTTAAATTCGAATAACTACTTTGCAATCCCTTGACGTACCCTGATTCAACTAGCTTTTGGGTGTGATATGGATTCAGTGCCTCTATATGGCCATGCTATGTCTACATTTCGTGTGCCACTGTCAACTGAATTGTCTTGGTTTAAATTGTCTCTCACCCATAACTATTGTTAAAATGCTTGGTCGGTATCATAAGGGGCAAATGTGCACAAAAGGGTAAAGGTGTAGATTTTTTTCGTTATGGGGGATTGTAATTAGTTACTACCATAGTAACTTGTTATGCTGTTTGGCTGCAATTTTTCTTTCTCTTTCTTCTTCACCAACCTTATTTTTTTTATGCCAGCCATTCGTGTGGATATACGATCCAGTGCCACTGAGAACATGGATCTTCGGGACGTTACTGGGTGAGTTATGCGACCTTGCTGTTTTCGCTAGCATTGTTCGTGAAGAATATAGAAATAGGTCATGAGTGCACTGCAGGCATATTCACTTACTGCAATGCACTCATGCATGTGTTTTTCAACAACTGCAAGCTGTCATCTGGCATTTCTCGCATACGTGTTGATGTAACTACATCATAGCGCTTGTTTCGTTCTGGCAAACATCTCCACGCTAAAAATAGCCTCACAGCTTACTGTTTTGAATCCGAGTCGCGGCTGCCTCATTTCAATGGAGCTGAAACTTAGATTTAGATGCTCGTTAAAGAAGACCAAATGGGCAACATTTCTGGAGCCTTCTGCAGTGGCATTCCTCATAATCGTGTTGTGGTTTTGAGACGTCAAACCCCAACAGTTATGATTATTAGTCTTGTATGACATCTTGTTACTAATGCCTAAGTGTGGTAGCCATAGAGCAGGAAAGAAGGTCAACACTGCTGAATGTCAACACGAGAACTCAGATAAGCCTAGAAGGGTGAAAGGTGTTCCAGCTCTCTGACGTGATCATGAGATAATGTGGTGGTGAAAGAAATAACTGGAAGAACAGCAGCAGAGTGGATTGTGCATTATGCATTCACCAGGGTGTGTGTGTGTGTGTGTGTGTGTGCGTGCGCGCACACACACGCACACACACACACACACACACACATACATATGCATTGTGCTCTTCTGCTTAGTGTAATTGGCAATCCTTCAGTGAAACAGTAACTGCTGGCTCCGCCGCGGTGGTCTAGTGGCTAAGGTACTCGGCTGCTGACCTGCAGGTCGCGGGATCCAATCCCGGCTGCGGCGGCTGCTTTCCGATGGAGGCGGAACTGTTGTAGGCCCGTGTGCTCAGATTTGGGTGCACGTTAAAGAACCCGAGGTGGTCAAAATTTCCGGAGCCCTCCACTATGGCGTCTTTTATAATCATATAGTGGTTTTGGGACGTTAAACCTCACATATCCCCCGCAGGGGCGCCTGCGCAAGTAGGCGTTTGGTGTGTAGCGACACCACGGACCCGAGCTAACGGGGGAGTTTCGGCTCCCTCCCACGCCTAGCTGTGCGTGGCTTTGCCATGTCCGGGGAAAAGGGGATCCTGGGGGTTGAGCTGACGCTGGGTGATTGGACCTTTAAGGCCCCCCGGCAGACGCAACACACCCCTTTGGCCCCGGCTTCACGTAGACGGCACCCCTGGGCTGACCCACCCAGGGGAAATCGGCAGTCGCCTTTTCCTATCTCTCTCTGCCTATATCTTCGTCTTTAACTCTCACTATCTATCTGTCCTGTCTTCTACTCTCTTCTGTTTACTTCCAATTTTCCTGGCGGCAAGGGTTAACCCTGTGCAAATAGCCTACCTTGGTCTAGGCGCATTGGGTTATGGCAGTGTTGTACGGCTGACGTCTGCAAGCTTTCAGCACCTGTAAACTTGCAGCGTCCCCTTGTTGGGCTCTGTGGTGGGTGGCCGCCAACGCTGCTGAACAAAACTAAGACCGGCATGCATGGCGCATTCCCTCTACTATCTGATCGTACGGGCCTAAAGCGGGTACGCACCGACTACATAAATCTCTTCAACCAGCCAATAGAAACTTTTCCCCACTTCCACGTCATTCACTGTGAAAAAACCGGAAAGCAAGCCAGGACCGTATCTCCTTTCGTAGTTGCCAGGTGTCTTACGGAAACTCTCGGGGCTGGATACAAAGTAACCAAAATGGCGAGCGGAGACCTTCTTCTAGAAATTCGGGACAAAGCACAATTTGTAAAGCTAAACAGCCTCTCAACGTTGGGTGACGTACCGATCACCGTAACACCACACCGATCCATGAACATCACTCGCGGAGTGGTATCTGATGCAGACTTACTAGAGCTCACCGAGACTGAACTTTTGGAAGGGTGGAAGAGCCAAAATGTCAATAATGTACAGAGAATTATCATCAGAAGAGATAATAAGGAAATACCAACGAAACACTTGATACTCACGTTTGCATCCAGTAAACTACCAGATTCCATTCAAACAGGGTACACAAAGACATCTATCAGGCCGTATATACCAAACCCTCGCCGTTGCTTCCAATGCCAGAGGTATGGCCATGGCTCTAAAACCTGTCGTGGTCGCCAGACTTGTGCACAATGTGGAGTCCTAGGCCACGTGTCTGAGAACTGCAAAAAACCGCCACACTGTGTAAACTGCGAAGGAAACCATGCCGCATATTCACGCTCCTGCACATACTGGAAAAAAGAAAAAGAAATAATTACATTGAAGGTGAAGGAGAACATTACGTTTAAGGAAGCACGGCGAAGAGTCGCTCCATTCTATGGACCTACATACGCTGATGCGGCGCGTCAGGGAGCACCGCCGCACCAGCCCTCGCCACCCCTTCAGCCCGCGCAGAGCGAGCCGTCGGCTGTGGCACCTGCCCCCAAGGCGGCTGTAGCCCAGGCTACACCGCCTACTCCCAAACAGAGACCAAAGACTCCAGAGTCTTCGGGTCTCAAGGCCTCCCCTCACCAGGCGAGGCCCAAAATTCGAACTAACAGCCCGCACGTGCCGGCATCCAGTGCCTCCGAGGAGGCAATGGATACGTCGGCACCCTTGGTGCCGAAAGAGCGGCGTGGCTCCTTGGAGCGCGCCAAGAAAACAAAAAAGCAAATAACAGGGCCTGGTGACGGCCCTGTTAAGTGAACTCAAACTACCCGTCTAAACAGCCACCCGCTTTTCGTACACACAGCATTATTTTACATTCACCATGAACACTCAAATTATACAATGGAACGTCAGGGGCCTTCTCAGAAACCTTGACGACATCCAAGAACTCTTACACGAACACTCACCAAAAGTGCTGTGTGTACAAGAAACACACCTTAATTCAAAACACACAAATTTTTTTCGTAAATACGCTATTTTTTGTAAGGACCGTGATGATGCCATGACATCATCCGGAGGTGTTGCCATCATAGTGAATCAAGGAATTGCATGCACACCCTTACAACTCCAAACATCCCTTGAAGCAGTGGCTGTTCGAGCGGTTCTTTTTGATAAACTGATCACAATCTGCACTATTTACATTCCTCCTAGCTATCAGCTGCAAAAACGTGATTTACACTCTTTAATTGATGAACTTCCGGAACCTTATGTTCTCCTTGGAGACTTTAATGCGCATAGCAGGCTATGGGGTGACTCTCGGTATGACGCGCGAGGTCGACTGATCGAACAGTTCCTTCTCTCGTCGAGCGCGTGTCTCCTAAACCGAAAAGAACCAACCTATTATAATCTCGCCAATAACACCTACTCCTCCATAGACCTAAGCATAGTATCTCCATCCCTTGTGTCTCTACTCCAGTGGAAAGTCGTCAGTAATCTGTACGGAAGCGACCACTTCCCCGTAGTTTTGAGCACAAATACAGTAACTGAGTGTCCACCACGTGTTCCCAAGTGGCTCATAAACAGAGCCGACTGGGAACAGTTTTATACCTTCGCTCGTCTAGGTTGGAATGACATATATACTTTGAACATTGATGTTGCTGTCAACTTCTTCACAGCGTTTTTGATTGATGCTGCAACAAAATGCATCCCACAAACAAATGGACACCCTGGAAAACGGCGTGTGCCATGGTGGAACTCTGAATGCCGAAACGCGCGCAAACAGCAAAACAGAGCTTGGAGGCTGCTTCGGAACTCACCGACAGCCGAATATCTTGACACCTTCAAGAAAAAAAAAGTCTCAAGCTAGGAGAACGCGTCGGCAGGCCAGAAGAGAAAGCTGGCAGAAGTTTTTTTCAGGGATCAATTCATACACACAAGAGGCCAAAGTCTGGAACATGGTCTGTAGGATAGCAGGGAAACAAGTACACACACTTCCACTCGTAAACACTCAAGGTGATACCTTGGAAGATCAGGCAAACTTCCTCGGGGCACATTTTGAACGGGTATCCAGCTCGTCCCACTATACTGACACTTTCGAAAAATACAGAACAAGAATAGAAAAGCAGACACTCGAACACAAATCCACTAGATACGAGGCATATAACCAAGCTTTCAGTCTAGCGGAGCTCCGAACATCCCTAAACTCCTGCAGTACTTCCGCCCCAGGTTCTGACTGTGTGGTGTATGAAATGTTAAAAAACCTACCAGCCGAAACACGAAAAACCCTACTTTGTTTGTACAATGCTATCTGGTTTTCTGGCACTATACCTACCTCCTGGAAAGAGGCTATTATTATTCCCATTTTGAAAGAGGGCAAGGACCCTTCTTTAGCTTCAAGTTATAGGCCTATTGCACTTACAAGTTGCTTGTGCAAAGTATTCGAAAAAATGATAAACTGCCGACTTGTACATATCCTTGAAACAAACAATTTGCTCGACCCATTTCAGTGCGGGTTTCGAGAAAGTAGATCCACCACAGACCACCTTGTTCGTATCGAGGCACAGATCAGAGACGCCTTCGTCCATAAACAATATTTTCTGTCTGTGTTCCTCGATATCGAAAAGGCGTATGATACAATATTGGCGTTTCGGAATTCTAAGAGACCTGTCCCACCTTGGTGTGCGCGGAAGAATGTTTCATATAATCGAAAGTTACCTGTCAAACCGGACATTCCGTGTCCGTCTGGGCAGTGTGCTCTCCCAAACATTTGTCCAGGAAACAGGCGTGCCACAAGGTGGCGTGCTTAGTTGCACATTTTTTATTATCAAAATGAATTCTTTGCACTTGTTCATTCCCCGCAATATGTTCTATTGTACATATGTCGACGACGTTCAGCTTGGCTTCAAGTCATGCAACTTGGCCATGTGTGAGCGGCAGGTTCAACTGGGTTTAAATAAGGTCTCCAAATGGGCAGATGAAAACGGATTTCGACTTAACCCACAAAAAAGCACGTGTGTTTTGTTCTCTCGAAAGAGAGGCATGCACTCGGAACCTGACATTCGACTGAACGGGCAACGTCTGTCCGTCAAAGCCGAGCATAAATTCTTAGGCCTAATCTTGGACAACAAGTTGACCTTCGTGCCGTACATCAAGTATTTAAAAACTAAATGTTTAAAAGCCATGAATGTTATAAAAGTGTTGTCACGTACTACGTGGGGTAGTGATAGGCAATGCCTCATGAACCTCTATAGAAGCCTCATTCGCACCCGCTTAGATTATGGGGCCGTTGTCTATCAGTCTGCTACTCAAAGTGCCTTGAAGATGCATGACCCCGTGCACCATTTGGGCATCTGCCTTTCTACGGGTGCTTTTCACACCAGCCCCGTAGAAAGCCTTTACGTTGAGTCAAATGAGTGGTCGCTTCATCTGCAAAGAAGTTATATGTCCTTTGTTTATTTCCTTTAGGTGAAAGCAGACAAGGAGCACCCCTCATACTCTACAATTAATGATTTGTCGAGCTCAACTTTGTTTCAAAACAGGCCTTCGATGAGGCAGCCCTTCTCAGTTCGCCTAAAGTGTCTAGCTGAAGACACTGCAGTGTCACTTGAACATAGTTTAATGGCTCCTGTAGCATGCCCGCCACCGTGGCAGTGGCAGACTATAGACTGCGATGTGTCTTTCCTAGAAGTTACAAAACATGCACCTATTGCCCATATCCGAACATATTTTTTGGAACTTCAACACAAATACACACGTCCTGAGTTCTTCACAGATGCCTCCAAGACTAACTCCTCTGTGTCCTACGCTGCTGTCGGCCCATCCTTTTCGGATGCTGGCCCTCTACACCCACGCACAAGTATCTTCACAGCGGAAGCTTACGCGATACTTGTGGCAGCTAAACACATCAAACAATTACAAATACAAAAAGCAGTAATTTATACAGACTCCCTCAGTGTGGTAACGGCTCTGCACAGTCTTAAAAAACAAAAAAACCCGGTCCTTGTCTCACTTTACTCCATTTTGTGCACACTCTACACACTCAAACAACATGTTGTAGTGTGCTGGGTACCAGGGCACCGTGAGATCCAAGGCAACGTGAGGGCGGATCAGCTCGCTGCATCTGTCCATGAGAGCACCGCCATTACATCCATATCAATCCCGGCCCTTGATCTTAAGCCGTCTCTCAAACGAAACCTCAGGGACTACTGGCAGAGCAAGTGGGATACACACACAAAACAAACTACACGTTATTAAGCCACACCTTGGTCATTGGCTGCCCGTATCGAAATCGCGTCATACAGAGGTAATACTAACGAGACTCAGGATAGGACACACATACACGACACACACACACCTTTTGTCCGGTGGCGATCCACCATTGTGTGACAGATGTGGTGAAGCATTAACAGTCCTTCACATTTTAATTCTGTGCAAACAATTGGACACTGTAAGAAAACAACACTTTCCATTACCCTACCGACAACATATACCTTTACACCCTGCAATGTTCGTCGGTAGGGAACCGCTTTTTAGTCACAAATCATTGTTAGCGTTTTTTAAAGAAATTCATAGTTTTCATATCATATACCCGGGCATCCCGTAGCATGACCTCTCCAGAGAGGTTTTTGCTGCGGTGGTTACACAAGAACGCACGTGCCTCACGGCCCTTGGACGCAAGGGTATGAACGAGTGAGGCACCTGTGCTAATGCCATACATATCCACCATCGTCTTTTATTATCACCAACTTTTGTCATCTATTCACACCACACACACCTTTCACGGCATGGTCATGATTTTATTACTTGTATGTTTTTACCCGCCTTACTGCGAGGAATTTTATGGCCCTTATACAGCCGCTTATCACAATCATTGTCCATATTTTTAGTAAGCTGAACTGGCGCTCTTTGGCCGTGAAATGGCCCTTGCGCCATAAAACATCAAACATCAATCAATCAACCTCACATATCTATCAAACAGTAACTGCTGCATTTCACGTGAACCTTAATGTGGTAGGGAGGTTTGGCTGCAGGGATAACTTAGTATGAGCGTTCTCGGTGAATTTTACGAGTGTTTCTCAATTTACCTTTTTGTATGCTGCATTTCTTTTCAAATTCCTCTGCAGTGGTCGGTGCTGTGGCGGTGTGTCTGTTTCCCCTGTGGCCGCGGACGGTGCGGGACTACGTCTACTACCTGAGCATAGCCACTGCTTTCCTTTTGGGCATCGTCATCTCCCTCGCTTTCTGTAAGTGTGTTCGTTCCTTTTTTCCGGTTGGTTGCTGTGTTTCTCCCCCAGGGTGTCTGCCACCTTTAAGGAGATGTTTTTATATGTTGAGAATTTAGTTGTGCCAGCCTTTATGTGACGTAGTACCACTGAAAGCATGTGTCATTGTAGCATTCACAGTAATAGTTCATTAACTTGAAGCAAAAAACAAAACAACATGGTAGATCCCTCTATCAGGGCAGTTAGTATAATATGGAAGGAAAAAATTATCTTCCTAGATGTACTCTATTTACTTGCGTAATGAACGCACCTCTCTTTCTTTCCTTTTATTTCTTTTTCAGAAAAGTGGACACCATTTTGGGTGGGGGTAAATTACACAGGAAGGAAAAATTGCGACTGCTATAAGAGCACAAACTTTGCGCGATATTATTACTGGCCTTAAAATCAGTGGCGAGAATGCCTTTGGTGCAAAGCCTCTTAGCATATTTGAGAACGTCGCTCTCGACAAGGGAAAACTTTAGTGTGAATGTGATCCTGCGAAATGTGCAATGATCCTTCGTTCTTTTTCTTCTTTTTTTTGAATTTTTATTATTTTTTTAGCTCTAAGCTCATTCTCCTGTTTTACGCTAAAGTGTCGTCCTGTCGCTCGAATCTCACGCTCCAGTGCATGTTCGACTAACTTTATTACATTTTTGAAGCCAGCCATGTAGCTAGCACACCGGGTCAACGTGCCCTACACAGCAGGTGTTCGCCGAAGTTCACCACAGGAACCCAACAAAACAAAAGCAGCATTGGATGGCAGTGCATGCACCTTGTGGGGGCACATCACAATGTCGACGTGGTCGGGTTTTGTATTTATGCCGCTGTGCTTTTGTGGAGCTATAAGGTAGGAGGTTTCTTCCGCATTTGACAGACGATGCTCAGCTGACATTTAGGCCAGACTTAAATTTTATTTTATTTTTATTTTTTTTTATTCATTTGATACCCACAGCGCCATAAGGCATTACAGTGGGGGGAATACAACATGATTACAAGACAGAAGACAAGCTCAATTTGCGGCAAGTACAGTACAGCCTAACCAGATAGTAGGAAGTACACTGAATACACAACGTAACGGAGATTGACAAAAAGGTACGAGAAATTCCAGTGGGTAACATACAGTAAGACGAAAACAAATACAATATGTATACCGCACAACCAAACACCCGTCATCAACTGAACAATTCACTTGACTCTAACAAAGGAAAAAATGAATCAATACCAACAGCGACAATGATTGCTAAAGGTAATCGATTCCACTGGGAAACCGTTTTAGGAAAAAAGAATTACTGAACGCTGCTGTCTTACATCAGTACTCCCGCACTTTGTAAATGTGATCGACTTGTCCAGACACGTAATGAGATGGAAAGATGCAACTGTCACGAGGAAAACAAGTTCGAGATAAGTATACATCATGGAAAAGCTTCAGACGCTGCTTAGCCCGGCGCGTGACCAACCGTTCCCATCCTAAAGCTTGCTTGCAGCGCGTCATGCTGAAGTTGTGGCTCTTGACAATGTTTCCCAGGACATAACGGGCGCCCATGTTTTGCACTTTTTCCAATTTATCTTTATTGAGGGCAGTGGGCGGGTCCCATACGCTACTTGCGTAATCAAGTATCGACTGCACGCATGATTTGTACAATAATTCCCGCGTGGACTGGGGAAACTCACGCGTGTTTCGTCGCAGGAACCACTGCGATCTACAAGCCTTAGCTGTTGCATAATCAACATGACGGTGCCAACACAGAGTTGCATGAAAAATACGCCCAAATACCTGTACTCAGAGACTATTTTTAAAACCTTCTTGTTTATAGTATACTAAGGCGAGCTACGTCGTTTATAGTATACGAAGGCAACCTACGTCGTTATCGCACGCGCTGCTCGCAACTGTTTAGCATGGTTAATAAACAATGTCTTGCTTTTTATTACATAATTGTTTTGTGGTATGATTGCGTGACCTAATGTTGCTTAGATAGTCATCCCCATTGGCTATCATGAATTAAAATGAACAGATGCACACATTAAAAATGGATTTTTTTTTTTTTCGTGGATGTGGGGAGGTAGGGGCTCATTATGCAAGTAAGTACGATAGTTGATTGTTTTTGTATGAATATGTGAAAGCTCTCACAGTGTCTATTGGTGTATGCATCACCATTGACATAAATGCACCCATCTAGGTACGTGTCGGTTCGTCTCCGTCATGGCTGTCGACCTTCATGATCATGACTGAACCTTTGGGGTAACTGTAGCAGAGAACATACACTTAAATTAGTGCCCCGCTGCGGTAGTCTGGTGGCTAAGGTACTCGGCTGCTTGGTCGGTACTCATTCATGCGATCGAATCCCGGCTGCGGCGGCTGCATTTTTGCGATAGAGGTGAAAATGTTGTAGACCCTTGTGCTCAGATTTGGGTGCACAATAAAGAACCCCAGGTGGTCGAAATTTCTGGAGCCCACCACTACGGCGTATCTCATAATCATATAGTGGTTTGGTACATCAAACCCCACATATCAATCAATCAATCAACACTTAAATTAGCATATAGTGGATTCCCTGCAAAGATGGCATCGACAAGCATTTGATGAACAAGGATAGTCGATAGGCTCACATTGAAATCGTCATGGAGGGAGAGAAACTGCAAGGTATGTGCTCGCAAGTAATGGGGTAATCTATGCCTATCACATAGCGCTTCAAAAATTGCTGGCGTCTCTCTTGCTGCATCAAAGAATTCACTTGCACGGAATTTTCCTGTCAGTGTTGTTGCTTTCCTGTGGTGCTTATTGCAAGCAGTTTGGTTAGACGGTGCCACCGCATTGAAGCAGTAGGGAGCGTAAAGACGCCCTTGCTCCATGTGGAAGCTGCGCTACTCTGGCGACAAGGCACCTCCTGCTAGCACCGACATGAAAGGCAAAGCACGCTACTGTGCTGTAATGGAATCAAATCACCACCTGGGCCACATTGCACCAACCGTAGTTTCTTGCAATAGTGCGCCGAAATCTCCCGCTTCACTGAGACTACCAGGACGTTCTCTGTGCTTCACTTCACCGCTCCCTGATGGTGATAGTGCCCCCACCGGTTAGGAGCATTGTGAGAAGAATGTGAGAGATGAGGCAGGTTTTTGAAGCCTCGTAGTACGTATGTGGTTAGAGTGGCCGGCACCATATCGCTGCTAGCCAAGAAGTCCCAGGTTTGACTCCTAGGTCATCCACGTCAACCAAACTTTTTCGTCTATTTTTCCGTTGTCATTTGTGCTTGCTTCATTTTGTAAATTTCATTGCAGAAGTATTGGAATAGCTCGACGTTAAACAACCGTTAACAATTTCAATGTTGCGGAAATTGCAGCCAAGCTCTATCTAGAAACCTGAACACTCCCGACCAGCTTTCGAGTAGAGCTCCAGACTGGCTTTTGGCGAAGGTTTTAAAGAATAGTAGAACGGCGTACCAGAGTTATAGCGAGGGGAATTTCGCGGCACTATCATTTCATTAAGAGCAAGAACGAGTAAAGCTGGCGTGCTTCGCTTCAGCCCTTGGCCCTAGAAAGGTGACCTCAGTTGACCTCTAAAGCAGGTGACCTCTAAAGCAGGTGACCTCTAAAGCAGCTGAGTGGACATTGCCACATTCACTGTGTGCTGGCTTTGGCACCATGGTATTCCACCTTATAGAAGTGAAATGAGCCTATGTTGCTGGCGCAATCAGCGTATCCCATCCCATAATCCAGAGCACTGGCCCTCTTTGTCGGTGTTATTCTGACTGGAAGGTTACGTGGTCTCGTATAATATAGCCACATAGTGAGCATTGCTTTGATGTCTGGAAACTTCAAGCCTCGAAGCCATTTCTGTTGGCTCTAGAGTGCCTGCCCATATCTGCCAAGCACTATGTGCTTGCTTTGCTTTTTTACGTGTGTCTTATTTATTTATTTTATGTTGAGAAAGTAAAGAGATGTCAAATTATTGGGCAATGCTTGATATCATCCCCTCCTCACCGTTTTTGTGATCAGGGCTGCGTTTTTTTTTTTTTACGCATCATACTTTCATTGCTTTCGTGGTGCCACCCTGACTGCACCACCTTGCTAAGCAAATGATCTTCATCGCATGCCTCCCACAAATAAGATGGAACACTGAAATCGCTCCTCTGGCAACAAACAAAACGAACTGCACAACGCAGGCTGTTTTGCCGGGCCTGCCTTTCTGGACATGTATTCATGGGGTTTGTCTATATAATGTCGCATGACTTTTCGCAGGTTTATCCTGACTGAGTGAATGTGCCGCTAAAATAAAATGTTGAGCAAGCGTGCCCTCCCTTTTTCAGGAAATTTGAAATATCTGCCAATAACTGAACAAAGACCCCCCCCTCTGTGCTTCCTCCATTTCTGGTGATTCACACACTGCTTGTATTCGCCCAACGAGGGTGAATAATGACTGTCATTGCATTCGTATTAACTATTTCATTTGAAGCGTGGGCAACTTTTTCACCGCCATCTTGAATTCTGTTCCGAGACTGAGCATCGACCTCCACTCAAAATCTCGTTGCGTTATCTTTACCTGTAGGGGAGGGGGGCGCTTGCTCAGGATTTTGGGGTAGGTTCCAATATTACCTTTGGATTCAACATCCGCCTCGTTATAGGCGTCACAGCCCTGCATTGCACTGAAACGATGTGGCGACGAAGTTGTTCTATTGTTGATCAAAATTGTTAGATATCTATAATTCGGGCCGGAAATATTTTGAAATAAAAAAATTAACTACATGGCACTCATGGAACATTTTTGATGCCGCGGAAAATCTCACCTTTGCCCACTTTTTCAAGGTCTGCGAGTTTGAGTTAAGGAGGTAGTATTACTGCATTTTCTGGCAAGTTCATTTACATGTATGAATGATGCTCCATGCCTTAACTTTATATATACTTCAGGTGTTATAGCACACTCAAGTATTCGTTCTGTAGAAACCGTGTAACAATACCGGACCATTTAAAAAATTCACTTGTTC